CCCAACAGGAGGGGTAGGGTGGGGTACAGCTATAGTTATGTGTATATAGATGCATCATGTCATGTCAGGCCCAACAGGAGGGGTAGGGTGGGGTACAGCTATAGTTATGTGTATATAGATGCATCATGTCATGTCAGGCCCAACAGGAGGGGTAGGGTAGGGTACAGCTATAGTTATGTGTATCTAGATGCATCATGTTATGTCAGGTACGTCAGAAGATGTAGGGTGGGGTAAAGTTTTAGATACGTATTTAGATGCATCATAGTTTGAATGTAACACACACACAGACAATTAAGAATTAACCCTTTGATTGCTGGAACTAACCGTTCTCCAAGCCATATAAAAGCCATATTTGGTGTTTTGCTAAACATTATTAGCATTTTATGCAAATGAGGTACAAAGTTCACTAGTGGCATGATATTCCAGCAAAGACGTTTCTTRTACAAACAACAACAGCTTGATTTCGAGGTATTTCAAATAATTAAGATTTTGAGAGCCATTTGGTCCAYCTATGGAAATATGCTGATGGGCATCATGAAGCTATCAGGGTATCAAGGCATGTAAAAGGCATGTTTTGTTGTAATGATTATTATTAAATAAATGAGTTTTGGAGGGTAGGTTTAAAAAGCTTTGAGACAATGTCTAGACTTACATGCTCACTACCTGCCCATCTGTGTTCTCCTGTTGTCTTGTTATAGTAGAACAGAATCTCTCCTGACTTACATTCATAACCACACCAATCTGGATCTATTTTATCTGTCTCTGACATGAAAATCTGTTGAAAAAATTTTTTGATTAAAAAATAAATAATTTCTTTGATAGATTCGCCTACGGCTCGTTATTTCTATAACTATTTTCGTGTCCTACAGCTCCAGTCGTGTTTTATCAGAGAACAGAACATAGCTAAGCCTGATCTATTTGTTAATTGAAGAACCATACACGTTTTGAGCTTCAACAGAGCAAATCCCTCAAATTTTGCACGGGACTGTCTATTTTTTGGTAGCTCATTTGAAAAAACTCCTAAAAATCTAGGTTATATAAACATTTTAGAAAAAGTTTATATTTCTAACACATGAAAAATCAGATTTTTGTAAGGATTTTTGTTCGACTTTATGAGATTTTTTAAGATCACCGAAACTACAAAATATGACAAATCAATGTATCTCTTTTTCGTGTTGTCAAAAATTACTGTAGAATGATTGACTAGCCCTCATTCGTGCAATCATATAGTCTGCAAATAACTTACTATTATCTTATGAATCTTAATTTTTTTCTAATCACTTCCTGTGGCACAAGTTTTGCTTCTGCAAAAGCTCGCTCATAGGCTTCCATTAAATGCTGATTATCTCGAAAACAAGCTCGGGTCACCCAATTTTTCTTTTGTATTCAGAATCTGCATTAAATTTCAATTCGGAAATCGAAGTTTTAAAAAAAGTTTAAATCGTTTTCCAAAAGTAGGCAGTCACCTTAATCAGTCTCAACACTATTGATGTCGCCTGTTGAGATGACAACGTTTTTTGAAATAGGTGTATATGGTATATATGCCATATAAATATTGCTTAACTGACTTTGGTCCCTAGCAACCCCTCTCCTCCCATCGCCTAGCAACCAGTATTGTTTAATATTTTACTTACATAATCACCACCTTCCCATCTGTGTTCTCCTGTTCTCTTGTTATAGTAGAACAGAATCTGTCCTGACTTGCATTCATATCCACACCAATCTGGATCTACTGCTTCTACCTCTGCCATGCTTGACTGATCTACGAACAGCGAAATTAGATGTTCAAGCTTCTACTAAATGACCAAATATGCGCTAAATTTTGCGCGCTTCATATGAGTACAAGAAGTGATGGCACAAAAGGTGAGGTGTAGTTTGTAGAATGAATCCTTAATCAGTTGACATTTTCACTATTTCAAAGCAAAGTCGTTTCCTCAAGGTTGCGTTCGCATCCAAATTTTAAAAAAAACTTGACGGGCCACGATACCAGAACAGGGGCTTAGAATGAGAATTAACATACATTTTATGATTTTTTCGTTCAGAATTCGTAAAATTGTTTATTCTCCTCTTTAAATATAAAACTGCCTTGTCAGTTTAACTGAATTTGCTTTTGCAATGTTAAGGCCCTTGAAGTTGGATGCGAACGTAACTTTGAGAAAACGGTCTATAGCTTAAAGTATCGTTTTGCAACGAGACATTAACGAACCTCTAAACTCTGTTTACATCAGCCATTACACCACAACACATCAATACTGAATTACCTAACGTACCAGTTGACCAGAAARCAGGCTGATCTTTGGTGGGAAATCAATGGAATACCAACAATCTACAACAACACGTTCAACGAATGACTGGAGAATTGTATAAAATAGCGCCAAAATACACAAAACGGCAGGCGTTGCTCGACACGACAAAGGGAACCCAGACAGAAAATTAGCCTTTACTTGGACCCATGTTCTAAGTTTTTCTAAACCAAAACTCGAGAAAAACGGTAATAAAACTTCGAGCGGACCAATCAGTACGTCTTTGTCCTGAATTTAATATGGCGGAATTCATTTAACATTTCTTTACTGGGTCCAAGAGAAACAAAAGCTGACGCCCAAAGCCACAAGAAGCCCATCACCCAATCCACGAACTGAAAGTCTGGGAGGCCTGTGTTTGGTCCTGAGACGGCAGTCTGTGGATTATCCGAGCCTTGATATATATATATATATACTTAGGGCAGAGATTCTTTCAGCGTTAAAACAGGCAAAACTACTCAATGTTAACCCATCTAGTATAATTACTGATTTCCTTGAATAAGTGTTCGGAATTTAAAGCATTATAAGCATTTAAAGCCTTCTCCAAACTAACTTTTAGTTGAAAGTATAAACACAAGAGTTAATTGTTTTACAGTAGAGTTTTATTATATCTTACTTCATACACATCTCTTCTACAGAGTTTGATGTGATTAAAACATTCTAAGGTAGGCAAGTGCTTTTTCCCAGCTATTCACCAAGAAAATTTGCCTTCAATCTTGAGAAAACAAACTGTGTGGAGTTGGCATTGCGGTGCATTGTGGGACTGTTTTAGGGACGAGATAGACGCCATCTTGGATTATGTTTCATCCGTAACACAGTTTCGCAATGCACTTCAATGCTAACTCGTTTATTTTCTCAACCTAGAAGAAGATAATATAAGTATAATTCTAGTTAGCTGTTCTAGTTAATTTGTCGGACTATGGTTAAGCTCTTCCTTCTTCATGAAATTTGATTTTCCGAACCATGAAAATAAGTTCACCAATTTGAATATTAGAATTTTGTTTCAATAATAACTTACATTTCATAATATTTGAAGAATGAATCTTTGAAATTACTTAAATATTGCAATAATGCATGAAACCTGACCACGAACGGGATAAAAACCTGGTTAAAARCTTGGAAAAGTGGTTTTGTCTGGTTGWCCCTGTAAATAGACCTCTTGCATGTTTTCACACCACGTGTCATTTCCTAGAGTTTTTTTTTTTTTTTTGTTTAACAGTGGCGTATCAGAAGACACATGAATGTCGATACAACCCTAATATAGAATCTTATACTCTAGGGCATAACACCTGCAACAGTACAGACCACGTGTCATTTCCTAGAGCATCATTTCTTTGTTTAACATTGGAGAATCAGAAGACACATGAATATCGATACCACTCTAACATAGAATCTTATTCTCGAGAATTTCACGTGGTCTAAAATGGGTAAAAATTACACCCAACAAGGTAAACTCGAGGTAAAGACGTCTATTCTTATCATTCTCCTGTCAAAGCATTTCATTTATGACGAGAGAAACGAGCGAAAACAGAATCTATGTTGTTCTGCACTCATATAGCAATATCTATTCTTTTAGGTTAAATTCATAAGGTGAAGGAGTCTTTCACGAGATATTTAAGGCTCTGGCATCTAATCCAGTTAAAATTTTTACAAAAGATTTGAATGATATTAACGAACAGACCTTTCCCGAAATCACTTGGGTGACCAACGACGAATAATGGCTCCAAGACGTGGAACTTGATAACTTACGCGTTTGATCATTTCCACTTGGAGTTGCGCAATTGCCCTATTTCACTATGACGTCACAYCAAAACAATCTATTGCTTAAACGCAAAGGATCATGGTCGTCAGAGGGGGTCAAATCAACGCAAATTCACCGAAAATTGTTCTAAAACCCGTATCAATCCACGAAGAGAAGTAGAATAGCCAGCAAACGCTCAGAATATTTTTTAGTACATATTAACATATATTATATCTGAAAACCAAGCCATTTTAGATTAAACTGTTTCGCTAGGAGCAAATTTTGTTGAATTTTCTATTGGATTTGGCGATTCTATCCCCCACATAAACAAGCAGTGACGTCATAGTGAAATAGGGCAATTYAAACACATTGTCTCGTGGTCTCTCAAGTGATTTCTGGAAAGGTCTTATGACCATGACCCGAAAAAAAAGTTGAAAAATGAATCTTTTCTAACGTCTTATGTGATATCTTATGTCATATATGTGGGCCCCCAGGATTCAAAGTATACCGCAATGCAATTTGGTCGAGAAATTTCTAAAATATCACAGGAAGCCCAAACAACTGTTAACATTGTAAAGCCAAATGGTGAAGAAAACGTTATTCCAAATTATAAACTATTGACATTGATTTAAAAGAATTTTTTTGCAGCCGCTTCCTTTTGGTTGCGATAAGTTATATAACCGACTAGCATGGCAATTTGAGTGATTATCAGAAATACAAAGTAACCAGGCCCAATACATTGAGGCATCGGTGGGGGTGGGGGACAGTCCTTCTTTTTGTCGCCTGCGAACTAAAGCAGAGAAGAAAAAAACGAGATTTAGTGTAAAAAATGGATTTTAGATGATTCGAAGTATTCAGGGCTAATTATTCTAATTTCTGTCTGTCTATCTATTCGTCTGTCTGTCTGTCTGTCTGTCTTTAGGTTTGTCTGTCTGTCTGTCTGTCAGTCNGCTTTTAAAAAGCGGCGTAAGCACTCAAGAAGTGTGACAAGCACTCGCCTACGGCTCGTTCTTCTCCTTACACTTCTTTCGTGTTTATACCACACGTGTCTGTCTGTCTGTTTATCTGTCTGTCTGTAGGTTTGTGTCTGTCTGTCTGTTTGTCTGTCTGTAGGTTTGTGTCTGTCTATCTGTCTGTCAGTCTGTAGGTTTGTGTCTGTCTGTCTGTTTATCTGTCTGTCTGTAGGTTTGTGTCTGTCTGTCTGTTTGTCTGTCTTTAGGTTTGTCTGTCTGTCTGTCTGTCAGTCTGTAGGTTTGTGTCTGTCTGTCTGTTTGTCTGTCTGTCTGTCTGTCTGTCTGTCTGTCTGTCTCCTATACTTACTTGTTGTTTAGAGGCCATGTTATTCACTGTATGTAGAAGAGTATCCATGGCATTCTGCATGGTACCTATTTGACTTGATACGTCAGATGTGCCAACATCTCTCTTGTCTAGGCTTCCAGGCTGGATTCGACCGAGAGCATTCCTGGGTAAAAACGAATTGGAAAAAGAAGGACGACTTATGTATACATTTTATGTATTGCGGTTTTCCTCTCYCCTCAAAAGTTAACTTCTTCGGGATTTCACCTAGTTGGAGCCTAGCCCTGTTATAATTGACTTACGCTGTGATACAACTTGCTAAAGCTTAGTAAAAAAAACTTGTCATCGCTTATCACCATGGTAAGTACAGCAGTGGGGCGGCGCCTCTGGAAGTCACCATACAGTCCATGTATGACCCCGGAGCATAGTTCTAGCCAGTGTGAGTTAGTTAGGGTTGATTTGAGAGGAGAGAGGAAAGACCGGAGAACCAGCGGTGATAGGCGAGCGTTTTATCACCATGCCAACCTGACTCCCCTACGAAACCTCGAATAGATAGATTAGGTTAAAGCTATTTTTTTWAAATGTTGAATACTGAATGCTGCATACTGAATAGTGCATTTCAAGACCGAAGTCACGGCATTGTGGGTCATAGAGACATTGTCTAAAGTAGGATTAATAATAATCACTTATTCTATTTTTAGTGTATTCCATGTGAAACAATACCGTAAATCCTCTATTTAGCCCCCCCTCTCAAATAAGCCCCCCACCCCCTCTCAAATAAGCCCCCCCTTTTTAAAGGAAGAAATTTGTTAAGCCCCCCTCTCTTTTTAGAGGTAACTGTTATGAATCTCGCGCTCTGATTGGTTGTGGGAGCGCGTGCTTTGTGAGAACACACAGCACACGCGCGCACTTTTTATAYTTTATAAAAGAAATAAAAAACTTGCTTGCTGTGCTTCGCAGTTATAAAGCACTTGAGGATTAGCAGCASACTCGAGAAGTGTCGAGAAACACTCCGCTACGCGTCGTGCTTCTCCTAACACTAGGGACTTTAATATTTGCAAAATCTGCTTTCAAAGTCTGTCTTCCCTGTGGATGAGTTGACTTTACTGACAATATTTTGAATGAAATCTCCAATAAAAAGAACATTAAAGAGACATTAATTAATCTTACGGTTGACGTCGCCGTCGTAGATTTTGCAAATCTTAAAGTCCCTACTTCTCTCGTGTTCTGCCAACCCCCGCGTGCTTTAAAACTACACACAGCACGCGCGTTTTTTATTTCTTATATTCTATTAACTCCCTAGTAGCTTACTTGATATCATCTAGTTTAGTAGTCATCTGTTGTTGTAGGTTGATGATCGTGTTGACTTCTTGTCTGTTGATCGTCTTATCTGAAGTCACCATGTTCGACATTCTGTTATGGTCCGTACTAACCAGGGTGTGCAACGTGTTGGCTTGGACGGTCAATTCTCCTGTCTTTGTGTGCAGCTGACTATAAGATAACCATACAAAATCAATAAGCTTATAAAAAATTATTTTCAAAATCACTTATATGTGAACAGTGTAGTAGTATGGTTGCAGTATTTTTGTATGTGGTCTTCTATTTTCAAAGATTTTAACATTTGAATTATTAATATGCAGATGAGATGACGTAAATTCAAGAATAGGTTACATTTTGCAGTGTGATTTACGACAAGCGTTCTGAAGTGAAATAACCTAAAAGTGTACAAAGCCATATATTTCAGTTATAAAGATGATTTGCAAATGAAAAAACAGCAGTGCTTTCCACAACAGCATTTTTGTATAATAAACTAGTCTTGAATTTACGTCATCTCATTTGCATATTAATATTTCAAATATTTATATTTCTGAAAAGACAAGTTCACATACAAAAATATTGCAACTACATAGTTGAATGGGGAAATACTTTTATATGATTTGAGTGATGCATTTGGAGATATCAAGGTTTATCAAGGTGTGAAATCAGTGTTTCTATTTACCACAATGTTATACATAATACTTTATTAACTAGTTAGTATAGCACGCGCGCTGGTTGGTTGAAAACTGTGCTTTATAAGTGATTATTATATAGTTAGGATAGTACGCGCGAGCTGATTCGTCGAAAACTGTGCTTTATAAGTGAACGGAGCACCGTAATGACACCATACGCGCGCGCGAAGTGCTGCTAGATCTTGACCGTCTTTCTTTTTGCGCAAATAAATTCAATAACAAAATAAAATTAGTGACTATATAATAAAACGAATAAAACAGATTTTCCGCGCTCCGTTTAGTAATAACGCTTTTAAAAAGCGGCGTAAGCACTCAAGAAGTGTGACAAGCACTCGCCTACGGCTCGTTCTTCTCCTTACACTTCTTTCGTGTTTATACCACACTTTCTGCGTGCTTTATTACTGAATGGAGCACGGAAAAAGCTGTTTTATTTGTTAATAAATATAACATTACAATCATTAACATATTGGAAGTTATAGAGATCGCAGGAACGCAAAAAGCGCTCTAAATCAAGTTTTTAAAATACGTACTTTAGCATGTGGTGAATAGCGTTCTGACCTTCGTAGACCAAGCGAATGTCACGCTCGTAGGCTGATTCGTACTGCAGAAAACAAAACTTGTTAAAGAATTCAAGAGTGTTGTAGCGATAGTGAAAGTTCCTCCCACCTTCGGGGTTTTGGGTTCGATTCTTGACTATCAGCTGAGCTGTCTGCGTTCCCAGAAAGGGATTATGGGTCGAGTTACAAATACATAAATGACGAAACTGAAAGTTCGCGCGCGTGCTTTGTGCTCTTATAAAGCACGCCCTCCAGACCAATCAGAACGCGAGATTTAGAGCAGCTATTTCATAAAGAATTATAAAATAACTGATCTAAATCTAACGTTCTTATTGATTGGGAGCGCGTGCTTTATGAGAGCACACAGCACGCGCGCGCACTTTCAGTTTCGTCATTCCTAACCAAAATAACGGCTATTGTAATTTAAATTTTATAAAAGAAATAAAAAGCTTGCTTGCTGTGCTGTGTGCAGTTATAAAGCACTTGGGGATTGGCAGAACACTCAAGAAGTATCCAGAAGCATTCCGCTACGCGTCGTGATTCTCCTAACACTTCTCTAGTGTTCTGCCAACCCCCGCGTGCTTTATGACAGCACACAGCACGCGCGCGCGTTTTCTGTTTCTTCAGTATTAAGTGACTCAGAGAGAGTTTAGATATTACCATAAGGGGAAAACAATTACCTGTTCTTCGTCTTTTTTGACTTTATCAGGGTGAGCCTCAGCATATCTACAAAAAATTAATCATCCATTCATTCATTTGTTCGTTTATTCATTCATTCGTTCGTTCATTTATTCATTCATTCCTTCCTTGCTTCCTTGCTTCCTTGCTTCCTTGCTTCCTCCCTCCCTCCCTCCGTCCGTCCGTCCGTCCGTCCGTCCGTCCGTCCGTCCGTCCGTTCGTTCGTTCGTTAGTTCACAAAAAAAATCAATAATCCATTCATAGATTCATTCATAAGTTTTCTCTTATTGCTAAATCACTTACTCTTGCTTCTGTTTTTCCAGCTTCTGTTGATATTCTTCATATTGTTTAGTGAGTTTGTCTTGCTCTTCTTGTGAAATTCCAGTCCCTGGTGCGCCCTGAGAGTAACAAAATATTGCTCATGCTTCATGGTTTTCACGTGTTGAAAAAGTTTACTACTCGTCGCAGTAGACCGAGGCAGTCCGTAGCGTCTGTTACAGTGCTTCTCAAGTAACACAATCCAATCTAGCGCCGAAAAAGGTGAATTACACGCGCGAAATTGTAAGAAAAATTTCGAAGCATAATAGATTTTTGGTGGACGCCAATCTAAGTGTTTCCATAACATTTTCGTATAAATAGTTTCTGGAACTACACATTTCAAATCGACCGCGTGATGACTAAAGTGCAACCACGTTTTTATCCGATTTTTGTCCGATGAACATTCTGAACAAGACAGGAAATGACGTCACTTAAGTCCAAACGAAAGTCTTTACTTACCCCCTCTTTAGGTGGTGTTAGAGTCAAGGTACTGAACGACAGCACGTCATGATCGTCTGTAAAATATCAAAATGACTGTTATAAATCTGGCATTCTGATTGCTGTGTGAAGGAACACAGCACGCCCTTTCTATTTTATCATTGGTATTTAAAATAAAGGCTATTCTAGGTTATTAAAAAAAAGTGAAAAAACAAAAATATAAAACTTGAAAAAAAAAATTAGAAAACTACATATGCGATGTAGAATAAAAAATACAAAGAATTGGGCAGAAAATGGACAAAATAGAAAATAGTCAGATTATGACGATTATACATGTAGAGTGACCACAGTAAATCCGTGAAACACTAATTACTAAATAGTACAAAATAGTACTAATTAAACAATAGAAAACAATGGAATTTGCATAAAATGGACAAAATAGAAAATAGTCAGATTATGACGATTATACATGTAGAGTGACCACAGTAAATCCGTGAAACACTAATTACTAAATAGTACAAAATAGTACTAATTAAACAATRGAAAACAATGGAATTTGCATGAAATTGTGCTATTTAGTATTACTAAAGCTTCACGGATTTACTGTGGTCACTCTAGCTACAGAGTTTAGTTTGTGTATAAAAAATAAAAATAATAAAAGCGAAAAATCAAAAATATAAAACTTAAAAAATAAAATAAAAAACTACGTAAAACAAAAAAACTGAAAATAATTAGGCAGAAAATGGACAAAATAGAAATTCGTATTTGCTGATTATAGATGTAGCTACAGAGTTTAGTGTGTGTGTGTATTGCTATAGACCAAATTCAAAACTCGCACCGATGTGAGGCTTAAGTTGTGAACAAGTTGGTCATTGCAATTTGTGACAAAAATTTCAAACGTCCGGGATGGAGTGCTGCTTCCTGGCCTACCCTACTGGGGAACGTTTTGACATGTCCTACTTGGGGGTGGGGGACAACAGTAAATGAGTCCGCGATACATTTATATCTTGGATTGCGGTTGGATGTCGAATGAGAAATCTTGCATGTCATAACATGTCATAACAAAGGTATATATCGGAATAGCAAAACTAGMAAGTAGAATWWRAAATGTTGGAAGTCGAATATGAAAACTAAGCATTTATATCTTCAAAGTTGTATGTCAAAAACATAATGTTGGCAAAAAACCAGAAAGTACAATGTAAAATGCAAAGTTCGATTTTTGGCCCCGAATGTACGCCATATATCAATGCATGATAATACTCGTGTTTTGGTATCGTGGCCCGTCAAGTTCCTTAAATTTGGATGCGCACGTAACCTTGAGAAAACGATCTATAAAACCCTTGTTTGATGTCCGCAATATTCAGCTCAAAAGTTTTTTTAGGTTGGGCGTAATGTTTTCCTAGATAAAGAAATTTTACTCTAGCGAATGACATGTGCTCTGAAAGGGGAAAACATTACTGTAAAGCTACAGTAAAGATAAAAGGGTAAATTGTACACTGTGAAAACCTGACAAAAATTACTGACGTTTCGGACGCTAGTCCTCTTTTACTCCGAMGAAAGACTAGCGCCCGAAACKTCAAGGTGTTTCATCTTTTCACGGTGTATAATTTACCGTTTTATCATTACTGTTTCATTAGAAACACCGACGCTGCTCACACTAGTTTTTAGCTAGTTATCTCTTCTTATTACAGTAAAAATATAGAGGTCTACTCTAAGGCACTCACCAGCTAGTCCGCCAGTAGCAGCAGATATTCCAAAGTATCCTTCTTTTGGTAAATTTACATTCTCGATTCTTGTACATAATTCAAAGTCTTCTGATTTTGTGCTCATTCCTGAATGAAACCAAACCTATGAAAGACAAAAGTAGTGTATAAACATAAAATAGATAGAGGATATCACATGGGCGCGCGGAGATACGAATTTTATCTTCGAGTGTTGAAAAGATCTCTCACGAGTGAGCGTAGTGAACGAGTGAGAGAATTTCAACACGAGAAGATAAATTTCGTATCTCCAAGCGCCCATGTAATATTCTGTTTATTATATGATTATCAATGAAGTATGTTTTGGCTTTTTCAGGCAATTCTTTCCATGTATTTTTGAATAGCCATCGCAATGATGTTATTTTCACGTGTGAAGATATCAATTTTTCGAAATAGAGAGAAATAGATATTTCATCGGTAATTATATGATAAATAAAATTAACGAATGGGAATTACTGCAATAACAGTGGTTTCACCATTAGTTAATGGAGTGGAATGGTTTGGAAACTCCATAGAACAAAGCTATTGTTTTGCATTTGATGTTGAACCGTATCATCACGTGTTACTGACACTGCACAATGGACCAAAGCAAGTATGGCTGATAATACTCATTTCCTTATTATTTTCATGTATGAACATTTTGAAAGTGAAAACTTTCATTCGATGACCACAAACCATGCGAATAAATATTTCCGCGCAGATACAGTTAAGTTGCTAGATGATAAATAAGAAAGCATTAAAAAGGGCAATTTCCTTTTCAAAAAACAATAAATATTATTCATTTAGGATTGATTACAAATAATTACGATTTTAAAACGATATTTTTAGGTAAAAAAATTCAAAATATTTCCGAATACTGATGAACAAACGCAGCAACTTTTCATTCACTGTGCACGGTCAACGTCATATAACAATGGATAAAGTCAAACAAAAACCTAGAACAATAGGTTTTCAACCATTCCACTCCATTAACTAGGGTTCCAAGGGTGGGTCTTCTTCCCTGGATCAGGATTGGAATTTAGAAGTTGATTTTTGCTGAGTGAGAAAAGCTTGAAGCACAGGAGAGAATCGACAAACAACTCTACACTCGCATTATTACGACACTGAGTCCGGGAATAGAAACAAGGGTAGCCTTGAAGAGAGGCTATAGCACTCTCACCACAACTCTAAACCGTGTTTACCAAAATATTACTCCTTATTGATTTCAAATCAAACTCACTCAAACCATCCCAAAATCAAGGATAAAATCCTATTTCTCTGTAGTGCACTCTTGTGTCTCACCTTTAGGGTCTCTCAGGTTTGATTTGAAGTTTGAATTCTTAGAATACATTCTACAAAATTACTGGATTCTGATTGGACAAGAGGAGTACCATTAAATCCCAAATTGTACTCGGTAGAGTCCCAATTGATTTGCTCAATTTTTTGAGTGTATTATAAACAAAAAATCGCACAATCTTCTCGTACAATTCTGAATTTATAGATACTCGTGATGTTTTGAAAGTTCTTAAAATGAACTCGCCTAAACGCTTGTCCAATTTGAAAAATTTCAAAACATCACTCGTGCCTATAAATTCGGAATTGTACTCTGACAGATCGTGTGATTTGCTTTACATATTCATTTTCAAACTTTTTTTTTTCATTTTCAAACTTGCATTAAWAAGTACGTTTTAACTTAAGTTTGCAAATGTTAATAATTATAATCATATTTTTATTAAATAAGAGAAAAATTATTACTAACATTTTCTTTTAGTTTGAGGGGCAACGGAAGTACACTTAAAGTAAAAATATATCATACAGTATCTCTGCAACGACTCAAAATTTTTTGAATWAAAAAAAAATCACAAAAATCACAAAAAAAAATTAAAAAAAGCTCAAAATGACTCAATATCATGATTTGTATAATGAATATCTAGGCCATGAAAAGAAATATCAAAAAGAAAGTAAATTAAGGATATTATTATTTATCTTTGAAATCAGGAAGAGATTCTGTAGGCTTGATAGTCACTTTAATTTTTTTTAAATTTCGCGAAAAAATGCCTTTGTTGATTTTAGTCTCGTATAAATATTCCCAAATACCAACGGTTCAGACTCAACTGTTGGTATTTGTATAGGAAATCGCACGATCTCGAGTACAATTTGGAAATTAATAGACACAAGTAATGTTTTGAAAGTTCTCGTAATTGCACGAGCCTTTAGGCGAGCGCAATTAAAGAACTTTCAAAACATTACGAGTGTCTATTAATTCCAAATTGTACGAGAAAAGCGTGTGATTTTTTGTTTATAGTTCACTCAACAAAATTTCAGTAAAAAATGCGAAGYGACGTCCTTCATCTTTGACTATTTGGCGACCRATTTTCAGCCCATCGTGCAACTGAAATGCATAAAAAAAATAGTTCTTATGGCTTTAAATTTTTATTTTCATGTTTTTTAAGTACAAAATGATAAAAAATAATTGTTTTGACATTGTTTTGGACGTGTTTCCATAGCAACTTAATTCGGTACTCCTACGGAGTACAATTAACACTATAATTGTACTCCTCTCGACCAATCAGAGTTGAGTAATTTTGTTGAGTGTACTATAAAGGAATAAATAAAGGACACAAAACTTTTTTTTCTTCTAAATCTTATCTCAAATCATACATACACTGAATCAGATTTACATTAAATACAAGCATAGATGAAATGCAAAACCCACCCCAATGTGATTCCTAACCCACGAACGAAGTGATCCGGCACGATAACTTAAACAAAACAAACACTTTGAAATTCCTTGAGACCTTCACTGGAAAAGTGAATATTCTACACAAATCAAGGCTAACCCTAGCAACAGAACTCGAAACTGTCCAGAGCACTAGATTCAAGGATAAGTTGATAGCTACTTACAGTCAAAACATGTTGATAATAGCGAACTTTGACTCGAATTGGATGAGGTCGGTTTCTGAAGTCTCTAAGGCATCCACCAAGGTGTTGGTTCTTGCCGTCACTACCAAAGAAAACATATTTAAAAATGAAAAACTATGTTATTTATGGTTACAATTTCGAACCCTAAAAAAAACAGCGATCTTCCCCCCAYGGGAGTATTACCTGGTCCCTAAGGTAGTATCCCCCCCCAGGAATCTAACCTCCCCCCAGAAAATGGTGACAGTTTACTTACTTGTGGTGTTCATAAGCCTTGGTACCATCGTTCACCATTATGGACACAAAAGGGTTATTTTGCTGGAAAGAAACACAGGATATGATTATAAATATACATGTATATCAAATAATCAAACGTTGATGAAAGGAACACAATAGACATCTGTCATGCAAAAGTCTGTAAATCGAATACAGATTTATCTCCATTTCAAAACATCTAATAGAGTGTGAGGGTATTTTGCCCCGGGGGGGTGTTCTCCCCTATATTCGCTATACGGGTACATGCCGCCAAACAGTGTATGGTTTTCAGCGATTCTACTCTGGAACAGGGTATATGAAATCAGGCTCTCTCCTCTCAGGAACAGGGTTTTCAGCGATCTTGCTCTGGCACAAAAAAATTTGCGAAGAAAATATATTACAAGCTCTTCTTCATCATTTAGTTTTACCAACCGAAACAACAGAAGAATATTTAAATTCAAAATTTGCCGCTAATCTATTGTCTAAATACTCAACACTATTGGATAATTTGTGGAAAATTTGTGGAGGTGGCTTTGGTTGGAGTAATCGCACTGTAAGGAATTGTATATAGACTTGAAAAGTAATTATAAACTATTTTCTGAAGTTCAAAAATATATTTTAGCCACTAATCGTTTTCAATCAGACTTTGATGCTACATAGTTTTTTTTTCCTATTGTTATCTCATTGTGAGACTGTTGTACTATTTTAGTTTGTATTTATTGTGCATTTATTGTACTTAATTCCTACTGTCCGCTGTTGCTATTTATTATTTATATTGTAAAATAGACATAAGTCTCGTTGCTTTTGGGGCAAATGTTACGATAAATATGTTTAAATAAAAATTTAAAAATATATAAAAAAACTGTCTTACTATTCTCATGAGGGATTACAAATTTGATTTAGAGAGAAAATCCCCAAAGCATTTTGGTAGTGGTACTAAAATGATGCCATCATGCAAACAATATTTAATCTATTGACTTATAATCCCCTGGCGAATTGCACTATTTGTCATTTTCTATCAGATGCATTGCTCATCATCAACTACTTGTTCCTAACTCTTTACCATCCTTACTTTACATTCTCACTCTCTCTCACGCAACTTTCATAATCTAAATCTATGGTTAAATCAGTTAATCAAGGTTGGGATAATAATGTCTTCCTTGGATGGGAGGGAAGGAGGGAGGTAGCGAAGGAAGGAGGGATGGAAGGAAGGAGGGAGGAAAGGAGTGAGGGAGGAAAGGAGTGAGGGAGGGAGGGAGGAATAAGCATTGTAAAGTATCGCAGTTGTATCATATCGTACCTCTCCATCATTATCAAACGAGTCACATAGAACTCCCAAACCATTCCACTTGTCAGAACTACCAAACACAGGTCCCTGCTTCCCAGCCGTCTCTGTAAACCATATGGCCTAAAAGAGGAAATATGATTGAGTGAATTAGAACTAACACAAACTGTTCATCACTTTACTTTAAGCTAATTTTTTTCTCGTTTCAGACCATGTGTCATTCCCTTGCGAATAAAAATCTCAGGGGAAGATTCAGGAATAGCGGTTTTACACCACAGCGTGACAGCCAGCCATGTTAGGTGGCAGGAAAAATATTATTGTCTGACACAAGAAAGAATTCAGTTCCCGAGCGCAGCGATCTAACCACAGGCAGCCCAATTTATATTGTGGGTGCTGGCATGTGATGGTGCAAAGCCTTCGTTCGCAAATGTACTTAGTATGGTATCTTGTAGTCTCCCCCACAGCCACTTTCAGTGTCGTCACGCAATGCTTTACCCAGGGGAGAAAGCGTTGCGTGATGACACTGAAAGCGGCTGTGGGGGAGACTAGGTATCTTGTTGCGAGTCACATTTTTACAATCGAGATGTAGATTTTGTGAAGCTAATTTTTCTCTAAAAAGTTTCCAAGCTTTAGCTTGGATTTGAACCCCTGACCTTCTGTTTGCTACAGTAGTCAAATAAGCTATTACCATTGAGCTACTGGAACTTACGGTGGTGAAAGAGATTCGTACAGATGCACAATTTATAAACAGGATTTAAATAAGGGAGCGACGAATTTTTACRGTGGGACTACTCCAACCAAAGCCACCTTGACAAATTTTCTACAAATTAGCCAATCAAAAGTAGGAATCTGAACAATAGAATTGCTACAAATCGGACAAATATCCGTGGGTTTACATGGCTTAGAAGACTGCCAGCACCTTTGTTGTCAAGTATCAACATGCTGTCGCATAGCAACATAGTGATAAGATCTAACAGTGTCAGCCTGATAATATCTTTGTCTGGAAGAACACTGTAATCATAAAGACTGTGTTTTATACGGTTTCTAATTTACTTTCCTGTCGTATTTGAAGTTGTACATTACTATTTTTCTATATCTTTGGTGACACAAATCACTAATTTGCAAAGAAAATATATTACAAGCTCTTCTTCATCATTTAGTTTTACCAACCGGAACAACAGAAGAATATTTAAATTCAAAATTTGCCGCTAATCTATTGTCTAAATACTCAAACACTATTGGATAATTTGTGGAAAATTTGTCGAGGTGGCTTTGGTTGGAGTAGTCGCACTGTAATGCAATGTTCAATATAAGTGGATTAGATTATTTGTAAGGGCTTTCCCCACTCCACCCCTGGTAAAAAATGAACAACACATAAAAGTTTTGACTTACAAATCCATCAGCACCAACTCTTCCTCTCCCTGTCACTCTAAAATGACCTTCAATTTCCCATGATTCACTGGAGAATTTATTTGCCGTCCACAAAAAACCTGGAAGCAGGTTCCAAATGATTGGAATAATATTATTGGATTGATATGAAAATGTTTTGCTGTTGAATTATTATTATTGTTAATGATTGTGATGCTATATATCACTTTTTTTTTTAATTAGTATTTTTACACAAGTGAAAATAATAAATCAGGCGCACTCATTGGTCACAATTTACATCTTATCTCTGCCTTTGAAATAAGCCAGCGTGGAGTGGTAATTAAACGGTTTGAAATGTCTCATGGACAATAAAAACAAAATTAACATCATAACTTACTTCTAAACTGAAAAACAAATACTGTTAATCTTCATATTAAACCCAGCTTTAAATGTAACTTAAACTTCAATCTTAAATACAACGCGAAACGACCGCGATGCAAAAAAAAATACTGGTATATTTTACAGATTGTATTAATAGTTTTCTTAATAAGTTTGTTTCATTTGGGTATTATAGAAGCCAAGAAATATCATTTCTCTCAAAGCAAATAAAACCTTTACTATTGAGGCGAGTTAAACACAACAACTAAATACAATAATAACGATTGTAAATTCAAAAAATACTCCATTGTTCTTTTGAGGTTTCAATCGCTTATATTTAACTTTAATGACACGAAAGAAGAGATTAAAAACTATAAACTTTTACCTGATTGATCCCTAAGAGATGGCGTTATCCTAACTTGATCATTGCTTGGTATAGCACCTAAAAATAGAAAGGTTTGAAATAATTTTATATTAAATAGAGAAACGATTTGGACACGTGTACTGTAACCTTACTTCCTCCAAAAGTCCAAAACGGTATTTGCCCTTGTTTATTCATTAAATGTGGACCCTTGAAGCTGTATTTGTAYTCATATTTAACGTGTCGTTCACCAGAATCCGCTAAAATAAGACTAGGAATTATAAAAAATAGAAAAATTGGCAGAGAAAAACTCGTCACGTCCGCCATCTTGGATTTAAACAAAGTGAACGCGATCGCACTGTATTGTGGTTAGTGTGTGTTTGAGTCAATAGTTGGCATCTGCTGATTGGATGAAAACRCGATGAATAATTTATATTAAAGAAGGGGCTTTCCCTGAGTTTTCTCGAACAGCGTTTGAGTTCTCTAATTTAGTTTTCTATTCTCGACTTTCACATCCCCATAATCCTTAACGTCTTTGGGGGGTAACCAGAGGGTAAAAACCCACTTATTTTGCTGAAGGCTGATCAGACAATGTTGAAAATACCTTGTTTGGYATCCAAAGATAAAATGAAGAAGTAAAAAAACAGAAAAAGATAGAAGCTTGAAGACGTTTAAGGTAAATTTTTAACATTTTTTCGTAAGTCAATACATTTTCTGTAAGACTAAAACTCTCGATGATCTGTACACACAAAAATAACTTGGAATAAACTGATAATCAGTATTGTACAGATAAAAGCAGGTATAGTATAAATTCAATTAAGAAAYCTTTCAATTTGGGACAGTTTTTTKATTGGTTACCCCCMAAAAACGCAAGGCATTATGTGGGRAYGTGAAAGTCGATAATTTMTTTYCTCTTTATCAGRGTTAGAGTTTTCTCCWCCTTATGAATACCAGACTGCACGTTTACTAATGTTTGTGAATCAAGGGTTGTGCACTCATCTCTAACCTCTTTGGCGCCTTGGGCCGCATAGGGGCGTAGTCAAAACAATGGTCCGGTCCAAAATAGGGATCTAATTTTATAATCTAAGGTGGTGGATATCGGTGCATACCCCCTCCCCCCTCAGA